TGTGGTTTTGTGGTACAGATGACAGTCTAAGAAAAAACAGAACTCTGATGATTACTACAACCAGTGTTACCTGCATGTTCTACTTGACTTAATTATAGAACAAAACAAATACATTTTCATTAGATTATGTTCCATCCATTTATGTAGCCACAACAGAACACAGAAGACTGTTCCAATCTACACCTTCAGAAAAACTCACCGAACAAAACTCCATATGTATTTTGCTTTGTTTTGCTATCAAGTATAGGGATAAAGTAGTGCAGACAGCTATATGGCATCCTGATAACAACCTTATCATCCTTGCCCCAGCCTTCAAGAGAAGTGAGGAATCATCACAATCTTCCACTGCAATCAATAAGACTCAAGTATGAGTCAAGTAAATATTTTTTCTTTGTTTTTATGTTTTGTTGTTGTTATTAAAGCTGGCACAGTGATGGAGATGTCCTTCACTTTTAAGGACACAATTCTCTTCTTCCCTGAATTAAAACATGTTGAGAACTGCTCTAACTCAACCAAGTGCTACGTGAGATGCATGATGGGCAGAAGCCTTCTGAATATCTCAAAGTTTTTAGTTTATCTTGCATCATTATAAATGGAGCTTTAGGACTCAAATCTAACATGCTGGCATTGATCTTCTCCTTCTCTGAATCCAAAGGGATATTCCTCTGAATCAAAAGGGATAATGGTACTGAATGCACTGTGGCTGGGAACTAGCAAACTTCAATGCCTTTCTCTAGTGACATAGGGGTAGGTGGATTTGTGTATTGCTTTATAGGGAGGTGTCATCTGCCCTGGCTTATATTTTCTGACTTGGTTGGGCACATGTCAGTTTTGCTATCACCATCCCAAAGCTGTGTATATCATGATGTTATATAACCAAATTTGGTACATACTGAAAGAACTAAGCCATAGTTAGAAAGTGCTGTCGGAGACAAGCTTCTAGCATGGCTGACTAGTCACAGTGTAAGACAAGGGGATATGGGCTAAGCTCTTGTTTCTGGACCAGTGAAGATATCTACTCAATAGAAACTCTATCAGCCCCCCTGGGAGGGATGAGTGCTCTATGACCTTTGCAAGCAGACCCCAGAATGAGCCTGTGAAAGGGAAGAAGAAGAAAAGAACAGGGCTGTTCTAGTAAAGGAAGGAAGATGGAAATGAGTGACACAGAACAAGGAGAAATATGGGAAAAAAACCCCAACCTCTAGCAAGTCATATTCCCTGAAAAGAGTTGTGGTTTTACAGTATGTAGTTTCTAAGAGGCAAGCCAAGCTGATCATTTCTGATACAAACAGTTGTCCAACCAAAGGAGTAGCTCCACACCTCACCAGAAGTACTTTGGTACATAAATATGCTCCCAATAGCGCCAAAGAACTGATTCTATGTGTTTTTTCCAAATGAAAATAGAACTCCTCAAAAAACATGCTTCTCTAGATCAGGTATTAGCCAGCAGTACCTTGCAAAGGTCATCGGTGTCTTCTTAATACAGGCTTAAAGTTACTGTGGCATCACTTAGAAACTGCAGGAGTGCTAGGAAGAAGCAGCACAACCATGTGGTGTTTTCAATGTGCCTGTGGTTTGCTTCCCACAGGATCAGATACCTAGTGCCAAGAGCCCCTGCTGTGAAGCACAGCCACCTCCTCAGATGCAGCCAGCACTGCAGTCCTGCTGCATGGTGCTGCACATCCATGCAGCATCGTGCTTTATATGGAAAGCACACGGATTGGACAGCTAATGTGAACACCCGACCGACACAGAAAAACGCAGCCGCTTCCAGCTACGCAGAGAAAGACTTTGTGTTTATTGTGGTGGTGACTCTACCCTGTGTAAGAGTGAAGTTATTGACACCCGATGGACTCGTTCATTGCTAGATCTGTGCCCTTCATTTAAAGCCAGCAACGTTCTTCAGGTTGGAATCTTCCAAATATAGCTCTGACAACCCAGTTCTGAGAACCCAGGGGGAGAGACAAGATACTTTGCTAATTGATGCTGATACACCAGGGAGAATAGGCACTGGCTACAGCACAGTTTTCCCTTAAAGTGGACTAGGTCACTTGGATGCCATTTGCACTAAGTCAAACAATAATTCTCACAACCAGATCCTCTTCCCCTAAATGATTACACATCCACAATAATTTTGCCACAGTGGAAAAACTATGGACTCAAATGTTTGGGGAGACCAGCACTGAAACAGCATGTGTGAATTTAATTTCAGCTCCCTGTGTGTCTCTTGCATAGTTTCAAACCACTTGGAACTAGCTGATAATCTAGTTTGGCCTCTTGCATAATCCAAGACATACATTTCCCTTTGGTAAGGGACTGAATGTACTGTGCTCAAGAACTTGTATTTTTAATAACAGTACAGCTAGAACTTGGCTAATACATACATTTCAGAAAGGCACTCTTCTGATGGCCTTGAGGAGATGCAGAATTTACCACTTGTTAGATTATATCCTCAATTGCATAAAGCCAGTCTTATGTTCTCCATTGGGACCGCTGTCTCATTCAGTACACAGGACAATATCACTTCCCTAGCAGCAATTCAATATTTTATTTTTGCCCTTTTTATTTGATGCATAGCCCTAAAATCCTTGTTTACTGCACATTATTCCAGCTCTGTTCTGAAGGCAGAATGATTAATTTCTTTAGAGGCTTTTTCTATAGTGCTCATCAGATGCTTCTAACTTGTTATGTGCAATTTCCTAGCTTTTGGAAAAGCACACAAAGGAATGTCATTATGTGGCATCCTATAACTACTGCCATGATTCATATCAACAGGGATACACCAGACCTTTGCTATCTTAGCTAACAGGTGTGAACCACAGGCTGCCAGCAGGGCCAAGCTAAAACAGATGAGGCACATGCTTAAGCAAGTGATTTTCACTGATATTTGCTGGCACCAGGATAGGAAGATTCAGAATTTTAAGGAGCCTGCAGGCTATGGAGTAAAAGTACTCTTGCAGATTCATGCTCCTTGTCTCTCTCTAATGACCAACACTTTTAATTCATTGTTTCCAACATACTTACCCCCCTCAGCCTGCTTCCTTAACCCAGTCTTACTATTCCTATCTATCCAGTCCTACCCAGTCTTACCTATCTAATTCTATCTTCTTTTCTGTCTACTCTTATTTCTCTCCTTTGCTATTGAGTTTATCTTTCCTCTTCCCTACATGCCTATGGAATGAGTCTCTGCCCCTAGGTTCCCCATCCCACTGTCTTTTTCCCCTTTTACTCCTATCCCTTGAGTAAGAGATGATGGAGCTTACTGGGGCTTGCGGGGAATGAACATTTACAAGACTCCTTAGAGGTTTTAGAAACACATATCTACTAGGCACATATGAAATGTGTTTTTTAAAGGTTATGACTTGGATAACCTAGGAAGGATTTTCTTAGGGATACTAAAAAGCAGATTAACTTGTTACAAAGACAAGCCATTCCTGACAAAACTTGGAGATACTAAAGCACAGTAAAGATGTCACAGAGGCCTTGAAGGTCTCTTTTTTAGCCTCATTTTCAGAAACAGTTAAGCCATGCTGAGTGAGATTTTCCAAAGTAAATTGGGCCAGAGCAGATGTGCATCTCAGAAATTTTTATTGTAACTGAGTGTAGTTTCAGAAAATTGCAAACAACTGAAATGGGAAGACACAGTATGTGGTTCTGTCCATAAAATAAGGCAAAAATGAAAGCTATTAGTATCAAGTTGGCATCTAACTTGATGGCTGCTCTGGTATCAGTGACTTGACTGAAATCATGACACTAACTGCAAAGAACATCATTCTATCTCACCAGGTTTTTGCCAACTGATTTTGTAAAGGTTGTATCACAGCAACAAATCAGTATTATTGCCTCATATACGCCTGATATGTGCATACCTGTTTTGTAACCTTCTCCTGGCATAGGCACCAGCTATTCATTCACTGGTTTTGTGTTGAACTCATTAATACGAAAAACCTCATCCCTCGCCTATAGGTTCTAATATTATCTCTCAATTTCACTTTACGTTTGTCCTCCTGTGCACTGATACTCCTTCAGTTTTCGAGTTGCCTGCAAACCTCATCAGGATCAAATTTATGTCAGATAATACAAATCTGCTAGCAAAGACAGAAAACAGTCACATGGATATAGAATTCCTGTAAAAGTAAAATTAGTCATGAAGGACTTCTAAAGAGACTAGAGAGATCTAGTCGGGGCTACAGTTAACAAGACACATAATTGATGAAATATGATTTACTGTTGTGATTTTGAAAGAGAAATGAGTTTTGGTTCTCCAGAAAGCTTCTTGTATTATTATTCTTGTCATTACTGTTATTACTAATCTCTAGGCCCTGTGTCTGTAACTAAAATTGTTTTGGGAATGGTACAACAGAAAAAATACTTGCTGGATGGGAGTGTTACCAAAAACCCCCCAAAAAGTGGAGTCACCTTTTCTACAGAAGTTTGGAGCTAAAACAGAGTTTAAGATAACAACAGATTAATCTTATTATAAACTCACATTTTACCTTGATTTGAGTAGACACAAGTCGACAGCCCAAGGTTTACAAACCCATCCATATATATCTATATTCTATAGTTATTTAGTTCAGATCTTTCAAACATCAGTGTACTGCGTATTTAAAATGCGTAACAGTTAGTAGGGA